ATTTTTCTTTAAATCTAAATAATCCGTTTAATTTTATAACCTGTCGCTATTTTTGCAACGTATATTTACAAGTATTTTCACAGTGTTTATGTTATAAGCGAAATTTTCGCACGAAAGCTGAGAATATTGATTGCACTTTAAATAATTCCAACGATTTGGTGTTTACATTTTGCAATATCAATCCTCCGATCCTTCGTTACACGGATCGACGTTTAACATTTATAAAATCGATGTTTGTGTTTATACGATGGCTCTTCGAAATTCTGGTAAAATTGCTCTCGAATAGAATCCGCGACGCTATTCGTTGAACAAATACCTTTGCCGAAGTTCAAAGTGCAAACGGCCATCGGGAGACGCTGCCCTACTAATAGCACAGCGGACTTTAATGGGTCAAATTGATGAAATTTTGATCGTTATTTGACAGAGACCATCTCAATCTTCGCGTGTACTTAACGGGAAAATATCTCACTGAATTACAGCAAAGATATCGCATTGCAAAACTACAAAAGCGTTATAAATTGCGAACATACTGCACCAAGAGCAATTCGGTACAATTGAAACTCTTGCATAATTAACACTAGGCTTACGGACGCTATCTGTATACCTATTTCTAAGGACACCTGCCAAATTGACAGGTAAAGGAAACAACGTGTCTTTTTTTAACGATTAGTTTAATTTAAAAACAATTATATATTATATTAACTTCCATCCCGGAGAGCGTGTTTATAACATGATTTTTATTCCAAGGCTTACACTTTTAACAGACCTAACGGTTTACCATATATTTTATATCGCGTCTGCAATTCCGGAGGATAGATCTGCCTCACCGCCGTTTTAGCGGATTAAGTTGCAAAGGTAAAGGCGAAAGTTTAGGAATTTTTACAAGTACCAGACTCGACAGATGGGACCCACGTGTGACAGACCCAACGAGCGACGGACGGACACCACTTATAAATCGCGTCATTGACCATCAAAAATCGGCTCCTTGACAGTTTCCTACTCCTTAGCCAAAGGTCCTTCCGTCACACCCTCTGTCCAATTAAAACTCCTTACTTTTCCACCACCAACGTTTATTTTGCCCAATCGGAACTAAACTGGAGAAAACACCGGACAGGACACGACGAGACACGACATAGATCAAATTCGAGAAATCGGTTCGTCTTCGACACCGATCCTTGAAACATCTTACTTACGCGTATAAACGCGTGTTCGAAACGGTACTCCGTTCAACGTCTCCATTATAACTATTCTATACTTTCAATAAATAAACGATCTCTTTTATCAACGCACACTTCGGGATCCTTATTATTACAACTAGTCACGCAATATTAATTTGGCGCGTGATAAGCGTTCTAGGACATCGAAGGTATTCGATAAATAGAACGCTATATTAACAGTTTTAATATAAGTTAACTAAATCTGTTACCATCTTATAATTGGAGCAAGCCTTCCGTCAAATTGACGGGTTCCGTAAATCTAGTGTTAATAAAAGCAGTTTAGGTGACCGCTCTTTATATTTTAATATAATTTGTTAGTCTAGCGAAAATTTTTATTTCTTGTTATTATTATTGTTATTATAAATTGTGTCTTTTTCAATTTATTGATATTTAGGTCATAATTTTGAATATTGGGAATATTTTGGATTTGGAAGATTTTGAAATAGTTTATAAATTTATATATGGAAAAGAAAGATTATGTATATTGAATATAATTTTGGGGATTTTATTAATAAATTAATAAACAATTATTAATAACATATTATAATATAACAAATTATTATTTTCCTTGTTGGGAAAATTTTTATTGACTTTGTTATATAAATAAATATACAATGAAGTATATAAATTAAATAAATATATGAATAAAATGAATAAATATAATGTTGAACATTGCATATTAAGTAAAATGGAATAATTATCAAAATAAAGATAACTGGTATTTTTAATTCAAAGATTTTTGGTTATCAAAAATTCTTCAATTTTATTAAATTTATTTTTTTATACTTACTTTTCATTAGTTATAAATTTATTTTTTATTAGTTTGACTAAGAAATATTACAATAACATTTAGATATTATAAAATGGTACTGAACCGTAAATAAAACTAAGTTCTGTTTATATAATAATGTAAAAGTTTTAGAATTATCACACTTGCTTTTTACGATAGTTTATTTTTATTGTACTAATGATATAATTTATTGACAATTATAGTGAAAAGTCATTCGATATGAAGTAAATAATGATATAATTTAATGTGAATTATACAAATAATTTTAATCCATTTTCTTGTACACGAGATAAGTAATATAGCGAGAGATATGCACAATCGCCTCTGCACCGAAAGATTTATAGCACGAGTGACCTTTGACATGCTCTAAACATCAGGTATCTCGACGGAGATAGGGAAGCGTCGCATTTCACTCGAAAAATGTAGAAACATCTCTGAGATACCGCAAACTCTGCACAAATCAGAGAAAACAAAAGCGACCTAGAAATCTCAAGTCAAATCACGAATTAAGAGAAAAATGTTACCTAAATAAGCCTCCATTGCAACTGGATGCAATCCACTAATTCTTTGCTATAATCGATAAAAGTACTTTTCCCAGATCATACTTTACTATAGTTATAGAAATAGCTGTATAAATTAGTTGAATAATCTTTTATTATAGTTTCCCGGATACGTTTCACTTGTATAATTTTTTACTATGATTATCTTAATAAATACTTATTATACCTACTATACTATCTGAATAAGCCTCCATTGCAACTGGATGCTCTTCACTAATTCTTTGCTATAATCGTTAAAAGCACTTTTCTCAGATCATACTTTACTATAGTTATAGAAATAGCTGTATAAATTAGTTGAATAATCTTTTATTATAGTTTCCCGGATACGTTTCACTTGTATAATTTTTTACTATGATTATCTTAATAAATACTTATTATACCTACTATACTATCTGAATATGCTTAGTATTGTAATTTTTCTCTATAGTTAAAATATTGTACCTAAAAAGTGCTTTATTATACCTGCTAAAATTGAATAATTCTTTGTTATTAGTATTATAAAATTATAAAATCACTTTATTTGAACAACTCTTTTTTATAGTTACAAAAATCGTATTATCTGAATAATCCTTTTATATAGTTAGTAGAAACTATGTCTTTTATCCTTTACTATAATCGCAGATGATGATATACTTAAACAAATCTTCATATGGCTGTTAGAAATATTTCGTGTAAATAAATTACTATAATTGTTATAGCTACTGAGGATACTATAATTGAAGCTGCTATAGCTGCTATAATCGCTTTACTTAACTTCTTACTATAGTTTCCACAAATGCTCTACTTGAGTACAGTAATGCTCGATTAAATTCTAATGCTGTCTGCTCGGTTAAAAGGTAGTGCTGACTCCCGACTTTTTACAATTTAATCAGACATTACTATAATTCTTTACTATAAATTTCAAAATATTTCATTTTATAATCATTCGTTGTAGTTGCATAAAAATCTTTACTCGAATAATCCAATATTATAAGTCCTGAAAATCTGTACTTAAATAACCCTTCACTATAAAATACTAAAAATAAAAATACTTTCTATTTCAATAATCATTTCCTATAGTTTCAATAATTAAAATTACAGTTACTAAACACATTGTACTTAAATTATTCTTTATTATCACTGCTGAGAACACTTTACTTAAATAATCATGCTTCACTTCCAGGTGTTAGAAACACTCTGCGTACATAACCCTTTACTACAGCTGCAAAAGATACTAATGATACTAAACATACTGAACATACTTTACTTAAGTAGTCTTTTATTATATCACCAGAAAATATTTCACATGAATGTAGTGTACTAGAGCTTCAAAAATTATTTTACTTGTATAATCTGTTTACTACAAACTATTCCTTTTTACTATTTTCTTATACCTACTATATTTTACTATATTACTATGTACAATTCTACTTGAATAAGCCTATATTTCAGCTATGAAAGTTCTTTATTCACGATATTCAAGTAAACATTCTTTGCTAGAAACTATTCTTCTTTACTATTCTACTATACTTACTATACTTTACTATGCACTGTTTAGCATAATTTTATATACAATTTTACTTAAACATTCCCATACTTTAATTACAAAAGCTCTTTATTCACGATATTCGAGTAAAAATTCTTTGCTATAAACTATTCTTTTTTACTATTAAACTATACTTACTATATTTTACTATATTCTGTTTACTATATTTCAGCTACAAAAGCTCTTTATTCACGTTATTCGAGTAAAAATTCTTTACTAGAAACTATTCTTCTTTACTATTCTACTATACTTACTATACTTTACTATGTACTGTTTAGCATAGTTTTATATACAATTTTACTTAAACAATCCCATACTTTAATTACAAAAGCTCTTTATTCACGATATTCGAGTAAAAATTCTTTGCTATAAACTATTCTTTTTTACTATTAAACTATACTTACTATACTTTACTATGTACTGTTTAGTATAGTTTTATATACAATTTTACTTAAACAATCCCATACTTTAATTACAAAACCGCTTTATTCACGATATTCGAGTAAAAATTCTTTGCTATAAACAATTCTTTTTTACTATTCAACTATAATTACTATATTTTACTATGTTCTGTTTACTATATTACTATATACAATTCTTCTTGAATAAGCCTATATTTCACCTACAAAACCTTTTTATTCGCGATATTTGAGAAAAAATTCTGTGCTATAAACTATTCTTCTTTACTATTCTACTATACTTACTATTTTTCACTATGTACTATTTACCACAGTACTATATACAATTCTACTTAAATATTCCCATATTTTAACTGCAAACGCACATTATTCGCGATATTTAATTGAAATTCTTCAGTACGTTAAGAACCATCATTCTATCAGAGTCGTGCATCTGAACAGGAATATTGGAGAAAGGAAGGTAAATAAGAAAATTAATTTTTGTTCCAGTCCCAGCATGAATGCAGAGACAACCGCGAGTCGCCACGTAGCAGCAGCAGGGATGCCGAGACCGAAAACGTGTCGTCCTCAGGGCAAACTGCGAAGATCGCTATCGATACCAGCACGGAATCATCCACGGAATGGAACTCGAGGAATAGTTCTGCGAAGAAACTAGAGAACACCTCGATCCGTGATACGAACTCTGTCCTCGAGAAAATCGCCGAATTTCATAAGGTAAAATTAATTTTCCGATAAACGTACCATTACGTGCCGAGCACCTAAATTCTATCTTAGGCCCCTTATACTTTTCTAAGCATATTAGACGCAATATACTATAACATATTTCTATATTATAAATATGTACTATATTTCATGTACATCTACATAACGTAATATGTGTTGCATATTACTTATGTATTACTTATGTGTACAGAAATATAATTATTTATTTATTTATTTATTTAATAATAATTTACCAATAATATTAGTAAATTTATTAATTTACTAATAATAATTTAATTTTATCAATAATAACTTAATATTTAATTTTAAATAATAATTTATTTATGTATAGTAATTAGTAGAGCCCATTAGTGTATAAACAAAAATAAAAATACATCAGTTTGTTAGAGAGACAAAGAATATAGGTTACGTATGGTACAAATGCTGATATAGCCGATATAAACAATTTGTTTATATTTTAACCCTTTGCACTCGAGGGGCGCCCTTCAGTCGCCATTTGATCAAATTTCAAGATCGATACTCGTTAATATGTCAAATTTAACCCTTTGCACTCGAGAGGTGAGCCTAAGTCACCGTTTAATCAAATTCCGCAGACCCATGTTAATTAACATATCAAATCTAAAATAACCTAAGATTGCATGGAATGTCGAAATAAAATAATTTTAAGCCTTAATTTATACCCGATTCCTTATTTACCGTTTTAAAAATATCCTCGACGTTATAGCAGAAAATCTTCGAATTGCTATTTCTTTGTAACGAAAATAATCACCGAATGCAAAGGGTTAAGGTAATGTAACGGTGTGCGAGGTATCGAAATCGTATAATTCTATGTATTAATTATTATACCAATTCTTATTTACTGCTCCGAAAAATATCGTCAGCTTTATAGCAGAATATCTTCGAACTCCTGCTCTCCTTTAGCCAGAAAATCGTCGAGTCCAGAGGGTTAAGATCTGTTTTTTAAACGAAGAGATACTATTGCCAAAAAATTGAAGGTTTGGTGAAAAATTGTTTGCAAGAATGCATATTCTATTGACAGGGTCTGCTGATTCAAATCGTACAGTATTATGCTGGTCAGGTATAAAGATTTGAAAGTCTCTCAAATTTTTTAAAGCAGCATGAAAATTAATGAAAGATAATAATTCTGGACTGCGTATAATAGCGTTTTGGACAATTTGCATATTAAATAATCAGGAGTGAAGAAATAACAACTATCGAACAATAACTATGGAAAAATTAGGTTTGCAAATAACGTTAATTGAAATTACCTTAATAAACGAGCATGAAATAATAAAAAGTATACCTATTATATTTCTTGTAGAATAATTTTTAAAATTTATCTTATGACAATTATGATATCCAATTAAAATTAATATGTAATTCAATTTGATTAGTGTTTCCTCTGTTAGTCGTGGATGTTCTATTTAAATGAATATATTAAATATTTATTGAACAATAATTATAAACATTATCGATGAAATATGTCTAATTGTGTTTACTCTTTCTCACGATACTCGTAAACACGTTTACTCTCAATGAATCCTGAATTACAACTGACCTATCCAACTCTCGCATTTGTTCTCTCTTCATTCATACATTACACAAATACACACATTCTGACCACACTTCATTCATTACACGTATACTCGATCCATTCATTCTTTCTCATCATTTATTTTATCATTTATTTTTACGTCAATATATATGTATTGAAAATTAGTTTTACTATATGTATGTGTATATCTATAGTATTACTATACGTATTATGTTTACTATATGTAGTTACCATGTAGGTACTTTATTATATGCATATTAGTACTATATGTAAATTGGTACTTACTATATGCCAGCTATATTCGTACTTTTGTGACCCATTCTTTTCAAGAACAATAATTTTTTATATATATAGATATATATTATATAATTAAAATCTATGTCAACCATTACCATATACTTTACTTCGTGGTATTTTAGAACAAAAAGAAAGTGAACTATATTATTTAAAAAAATTATTGTTTTCGAAAAGAATGAGTCACGAATGTACGAATATAGTTGACATATAGTACTAATATACATATAGCGAAGTACCTACATGGTAACTACATATAGTAAAGATAATAGATATAGTAATACTATAGATACACACATACATATAGTAAAACTAATTTCCAATTTCTCAAAAAACAGTGTATTAAAAAATCAATACTATACGCTAGCTATTACTGCCCTTATGGGTTTTCTATTCATGTCACAATTATTTAAAATCCATCGTTCATTTATCGCGACACGTGACTGCTTTTGAACAAATTTAAATTTTCTAGTTACGTCAAAAATCTATATTTGACTTGCTGTAAGTAAATACCTCAAAAAATATTGTTGTAAATAAAATTGTTTAAATAAAAGTTTCTAAGCGAAGTTAGAATTTTTTGCCAATCAAAGTTTGTGAATTTATAACAATTTACAACCAAACTTCTGATATAAAATTTCAATAAAAGTCCATTGTAATCCTTCAAATAAATATAGCTTTTATAGTCAAAGTACACTTGCATTTCTTTTTAAGGTCTCTTTTTATCACAGCCGCTGCGTTGTTTGCGAAGGCAGTAAGGACATAAATGTTCAGACATGTACCTTTTATTTCTGGTTTACTGTCATAAATAACAGTGGAAAAGAAGTTGAAACTCTACGTTTATAACCATTCCTTGTCAATTGCAGAGAGTAATACTTGTTGTATGAAGGCAGCCGAGGGATGTTGCGGTGGATACCTTCTCTCAGTATGTTCTACCAATTGAAATACTGAGCATCTTGGGTGTGCAATAAAGAATACCTTCGTGTTTGTGTATACTTTATTGCACTGGTAGTTGTTGCGATTTCGAATGTGATGTGTATGCGTTATGCTGAATAGTGTTGCGTTCTGTTAGTGTTTGGTTGCATTCTGACTGACAAGAGAGTGCAAGTCCTTCGGGTCACCGATTTAGTTGAAACTCTGCAGGTTCGTAGATTTCGTTATACAGTTCAAGAATATATTATAGAGGCAACTACTCAATAGTTTTTGAGATATTTAAGATTAAAGTTATAAAGTTTTATCATTTCTTTAATTACAGATTTATTTGCAGTGGTTTTCAATTGGTGTTGTGGCCTAATAGTGTAGGATGGCGAAACTGGTCTTGAGACACCGAAAATTCACGAAAGAACAAGAACACGATAACACAAACTCAAAACTCGTAAACTGATTTAACTTAGGGAA